TCTCATGATCGGCCTCTTTCAAATGGGCTAATGTCTATTCTCTTTTCTCAGCAATAGACTTAGTTTCTACTCATACCTTGGAAAACACACCCATGAGATTGTTTAGATATAAAGCAAGTAGTGGACAAATTCTCCACTGTACCATACGCCTGGAAAGCATCATGAGATTGTTTAGATATAAAGCAAGTAGTGGACAAATTCTCCACTGTACCATACGCCTGGAAGGCAAGCCTATGAAGTAGCCTCTATGAGAAACTAGTAGTGGATAAAGTTTTTATCACTATAAAGATTACATAAGAGCAAGTGGTTGATAACTACAATAAAAAAATCTCAAAATGCTATTAGTCTTGGAATGGATAAGTATGTTAAAAAATTTCAAATGACTATAAGTCGTCTCAAAAGATATAAGTACACTAAATGTATCTCAGAAGTAATAAGCCCCAGAGGAGTTTGATATCACTATGCTTCCATTAGGAGGTAATATTGGATTTCTCATACGAATTATAATGACTTAGAATTCTCTGAGGGGAAAGTTATAAGTAATCAATATAACGAATGTCTAAAATTGAGATTACTAGCCTTGCTAACATCATATTAAAGGCTCGGGCTACAATTTAAGGAAAAGAGATACAATAGACAAATGTTCAAGATCAACATATTACCAGCAATCATATATGATGACACGTAAAACAGTACATTAATAAGTGCAATATTATAAAACAAAATAAGAGAAAAAAAAATATTCCTCGAAGATCAAGCACTGATAGATCTCAATATGCTCATCCTCATTATAATCATTGGAGGATGTTATCTTCTGTTGGTTTTCAACACCTTCAGTTTCTTTTAAGAAATGAGTGGCCTCAAATGGATACACCCTAGATGTCGACCCCAATCTTATTATGCATCAGACAATTCTTTCCATAAGCCTTAGATAAATCTTTCTTCCATACACTGGTTCTACAACTTCTTATTCTCCTTTTTAAAAGCCAACTTCTTCACCTGAAAAGCTTTTAAGCTCTTATTACATTGATGCCCCCAATAAATGGACTAAAACTTTTGCGTCAGTGACTACCATGACCTCCATGCCCGACACACCCACATTTAGTTTGATAGATTCACCAATATATCACACTCTATAGTTTTCCACTATACCATTGCCGCTTACATTATGTAAGTGTCTCTGCTTCTACAAATCCAGGTGTGTCAGGCTATACTCGACACACTCAACAGAAGCCCAATGGAGATACTTAAGTACTTTATATTACAACAAAGTGCACTTTATTTTCTCTTTGACTATTAAACTCATGATAATTTCTTTTTTTAGATGTTATCCATCCAGGCAAGTTATCAGGCATATTGTCAGAAGCAAGTGTGATGATTTGTACTTATCCTGGAAAGATATCCTAATTAAAGTTTGGGCTATGTAGTTCAAAGAGTTTAAGATAAACTCTAAATAGTAATCTTAAATTGTGTAACTTTATACATTTAACTGATTCATTTTCACGGTGCAAAAGGAGTTCTCCTTATTACCTGAGAATCATAGATTAGGAAAAAAATTGAGATAATAGGGGAGGCCAAATTGCGTGATACATTCACTGGCATACATTGAGATGGACCAGAGACCTCTATAGATTATAAAGGATGTCTAAACCCAATTCTGTAGAGCCTAGGCCTCTCCTGACTATGTTAAAGAAAGAGCAAGCTGAATTAGGGTTCAGAATGTGGGCGCATGGGCACTTGCCTGCACAATGGAGGTGTACTCCCACATACTAACTACAAAAGGAAGATGATAAGTGTAAGTTTGTGCAATAAATTTTAGCGGATAATTATTATTTAGTAACTTTATTTTTATTTTAATAGACTCAACTACTTGGATGAGAGTACATACTCGTCAAGCAACATGCTTGTACGCATCAGCAATAATTGGACCAACAATGGGCTGGCAACATATCTAATAAAACTCATGCAAGTGGCATACTAATTTTAATATCATTTCAATTATTTTAAAGCCTCTAATAACCATTTATATTTTTTTTTTGTAGGAGGGCACTTGTGACTCAAGGTTGTTCAAACTTAGAGCTTCTCTCTCTAGAGACCAGTTTGACCACTCAGAATTTGACAATAGAATAAAAGCCATTGGGGGAAGAGAAAGGAAATGGTATAATCATAAAATCAAAACACCTTCCAAAAGCAAGATGCCCACACAAGGCACAATCTCAACAAACAACACAATCTTTTGAACTGCAAATTTCTTCGAATTGCATGAGACTTATAACTAAACATATACAAAAATGGACATAAACTTAAAGCACCAATGGATGCACAATGACTTATGGCCACATTTTTTTTTTTTTATTTTTTGTTTGAATCAAACTAATCGTTACCAAACACATGTATTATCAATGGGATAAGTATGTGAATGGCTATAGAAGTGAGTAAAGTCAGTATCCATTATATATAGCTAGGTGTCAGCTAGTTGTATTAATAAAGATTTGAACAGTTATTATCATGATTATGAAGATCCATCTATATTCAATTTAATAGGATTTACACACATACCACTAAACTCTTATGTATTTACATTTCTAACACCTAAATTTTAATTTTTACATATTTGCCACCTTATTTATATACGAAAACTTGTGTTTTTTAGTTAGGTGAAAAATTATCCTTTTTTTTTTTGTTTTTTTTGTAGTTTATTGTATCAAAATTATTTTATAAGAAATTATTACACATTGCATCTTATACAAATAAATAGGTATGATGCTACAGCGATCCCAGTGTAGGTTTTCTATTGTCTGGCAACTAGGTTGATTTTTTAGTACTACTATTATTATCATTTTTATTGGTCAACTAGGGTATGTTACACATGGATCACTAAAATTAATGTCGTTTGATTTTATAAACTCTATAATCGGATCCCAAATTTGATTTTTGGCTGCATTGAGATTCTTTATAAAGTAATCATCATAAAATTTCCCAATGTGACAAGTTAACAGAGACCTTTACATTATTTTAAGTGAAATACATAAAAAAAATTGTTATAAGTAACACGACACCAATAAAATTTCATTAAGCGGCACGGATTTTGAGGCATAACATAAATCTGGAAGTGATGTTTTGATTAAAGAACATTCAAACTTCAATTAGAAGTCATCTAGAGCTCCGATTTTAGCAAACATTTTGTCAAATTGACCAGCTCGATGAGACAGACTCAATGATACCAAAATTGATCAAATTCAAGTCAAACCAAGCTCATGTCAAGCCATTAAAATACACTTGAAAGCTTTATGAATATATTTGGAAGGTCAAACAAATGTCGTACCTGGTAAACTTATAAAAGAAGGTCAAACAAATGTCGTACCTGGTAAACTTATAAAAGAATCGAGCGTCTCGACAAGACGAATCCAACAAGTCCAAGTTCACTCAATTCCGACATCATTAAGACACTCAAATGTTCATCAAATGTTGTTTGATTTAGGAAATCCCCTTGAGTCGTTCGATCAAAGTGATTTATATTCCAGTATTAATTACACACAGAGCTCTATAAATAGAGCCCCACTAATCTCACGAACAGGAGCAGGGGAGTTTAAGATCTGAGGAAGAGCTTAAAGTTTTGAGAATAAGCTGAAGTCCAACACCACTACCACTAACCACCATCAAACATCACTAACCTTCGTCGACCACCGCTGATCGTCGTCGAATTTCGTCGATCGTCGTTGACCACCGTTAACTATTGTCAACCAGCATTCACCTCCGTCGACCACCGCCGACTGTCGTTGATCACCGCCAATCTATGTTGACAACCACTAACCATCGTCGACGACCACTGACCAGACACCGTCAATCGCTATCGGTCACCGCCCGTTCCAAGTAACAAATTCAACTGCATGTCGTTGTTGTAACTTACAAAACCTAATAATCACTTTCTGACTGTGGGACAAGTAGGTGCAACTCTAATCATCTTTTTATAGTGCAACTCTTCAGCTGGGTCAGACTCTGTGATTTTTCTTTTCCGAGTTTTCCATGTAAAAATTTCTGATGTCGTTATTAGTTGTTTTCTCTTTTCTCAATATGTGTTGAATCTTCATACATGTTAAGACGATACTCTACTGTTCTGCTGTCACGAATTTTCCTAGCACGCATCAATAGAAGTGATGTACCAGTCAAAGACATAATAAAAATTAGGAGAGGGTTTTTAGTTAGATACCATATGAAGGAACTAATAATGGCAAGATTGTGATCAATGATATTCGCAAAGACTAAGTATACAAAAGATGATTAAAAAGATAAAGAGCGACACAGCCATAACCCAAAAAAAAAGAAAACTTTTCATAGCACTTTCATTTTTTGCTGCGCTTTTAACACCTACTGATTTTATTGTAGCATTGCAAATACGCTATCATTGTTTAGCATTCCCAAGACTTTTCACAGTGCTTTTGCAAACCGTGGGGAAGATCTTTCACAACGGTATATACGACAACCCTCATAAATGCTGGGACGTTTTAAAATATATCAGCACTCACAAGTGCTGCTAAAATGTAGTATGTACCATTAATTATATGATTGGACTTTCATGCTTTAACTTTCAAGAATGTGTTGCTTTCAAAACAAAGTTCTAAGAACACACATAGTTATATAAGGGCCTGGTCAATTAAACGAATTTATGGATGGCTAAAATAGAGGCAAAGAAGAAGATTGAACAAAATTTAAAGGATGCTTTCTATTTGGTTTAATAAGCAAAGTTCTTGGTGGAAATCTTATCAG